ACAAGAACACCAGACAGAAACTTAAAAAGGAAACAAAGGAACTAATAGAAGTTATGGCCCAATTGGGCTTAACAGACTTCTATAGAACATTCCATCCAAATACAAAAGAATATACCTTCTTCTCAACACCACATGGAACATTCTCTAAAATTGACCACATACTTGGCAACATAGCAAACCTCAACAGGTAAAAAAAAATTAAAATAACCCCCAGTATCTTATCAGACCACCATGCTTTAAGGTTAGAATTCAATAACAACACAAATTTCAGAACACCTACAAATTCATGGAAATTAAGTAAAGCCCAATTGCACAATCCCTGGGTCTAGGAAGAAATTTAAAACAAAAGAAATTAAAGATTTCCTAGAATTCAATAAGAAGGTTGACACAACATATCCAAACTTATGGGACACTTTGAAAGCAGTGCTAAGAGGAAAGTTCATAGCGCTAAGTGCCCACATGAAGAAACAGGAGAATAATCACACTAGAGAATTAACAGCACAACTGAAAGCTTTAGAACACAAAGAAGCAAATACATCCCAGAGGAGTAGATGCCAGGAAGAAATCAAATTGAGGGCTGAAAACAATAAAGTGGAAACTAGGAGAACAAAACAAAGTATCAATGAAACAAAGAGATAGTTCTTTTAGAAGATCAACAAGATAGACAAATCTTTATCCAAACTTGCCAAAAGGCAGAGAGTGAACATGCAAATTAATAAAATCAGGAATGAAAAGGGTGACATAACAACAGACACAGAGGAAATTCAGAGAATCATCAGGTCATATGTCGAAAACCTATATTCTTCAAAATTAGAAAATCTAAAGGAAATGGACAATTTGGGGGACAGATTTCATTTACGAAAATTAAATCAAGATAAGCAACTTAAATAGACCTATAAGCCCTAATGAAATAGAAGCAGTCATCAAAAGTCTCCCAACCAAAAAAAGCCCAGGGCCAGATGGCTTCAGTGCAGAATTCTACCTGAATTTCAAGCAACAGTTAACACCAATTCTCCTCAAAATACTCCACACAATAGAAGCAGAAGGTTCATTGCCAAACTCTTTTTACAAGGCTTCAATAATGGTGATACCCAAGCCACACAAAGACACAACTAACAAAGAGAATTACAGACCAATATGCCTCATGAACATTGATGCAAAAATAACAATAAAATTCTGCAAACCAAATTCGAGAACATATCAAAGAAATCAACCACCATGATCAAGTAGGCTTCATGCCAGGAATGCAAGGATGGTTCAACATACGAAAATCAATCAGTGTAATCCACCATGTAAACAGACTGAGGAAGAAAAACCACATGATCATGTCACCAGATGCCAAAAAAGCCTTTGACAAAATCCAACACCTCTTCATGATAAAGATCTTGGAAAGATCAGGGATAACAGGAACATACCTTAACATAATAAAAGCAATATACACCAAGCCAACAGCCAACATCAAATTAAATGGAGAGAAACTCAATGTAATTCCTCTAAAATCGGGGACAAGACAAGGCTGTCCACTCTCTCCATACGTCTTCAATATTGTCCTTGAAGTTCTAGCTAGAGCAATAAGACAACAAAAAGAGATCAAGGGGTCACAAAGCAGAAAGGAACATGTCAAACTTTAACTATTTGCAGATGGTGATGCTCTGCATGAGTGACCCAAAAAACACTACCAGGGAACTCCTACAGCTGATAAACACCTTCAACAAAGTGACAGGATACAAGATTAAATAAAAAAATCTGTAGCACTACTATATACAGATGATACTTTTGAGAAAAAGATATCAGAGAAACAGCACCTTTTACAATTGCCACGAACAACATAAAATACCTTGGGGTAACACTAAACAAAATGGTGAAAGACCTGTACCATAAGAATTTTGAGTCTCTAAAGAAAGAAATTAAAGAAGATACTAGAAAAATGGAAGGATCTCCCATGTTCTTGGATAGGTAGGATCAACATAGTAAAAATGGCAATCTTGCCAAAAGCAATCTACAGATTCAATGCAATCCCCATCAAAATCCCAACACAATTCTTTACAGACCTTGAAAGAACAATTCTCAACTTTATATGGAAAATCAAAAGACCTAGGATAGCCAAAACAACCCTGTACAATAAAGGAACTTCTGGAGGCATCACTATCCCTGACTTCAAGCTCTATTACAGAGTTATAGTCCTGAAAACAGCTTGGTATTGGCACAAAAATAGACAAGAGACCAATGGAATAGAGTTGAAAACACCGATATTAACCCACACACCTACGAATACTTGATTTTTGACAAAGAAGCTAAATTTATACAATGGAATAAAGAAAGAATCTTCAACAAATGGTACTGCCAAAAAAGTATAAGACTGCAGATAGATCCATGTCTATCGCCATGCACAAAACTTAAGTCCAAATGGATCAAAGACCTCAACATACATCCAGCCACACTGAACCTATTAGAAGAGAAAGTAGGAAACACCTTTGAACTAATTGGTACAGGAGACCACTTCATGAACATAACACCAGTAGCACAGACACTGAGATCAACAATTGATAAATGGGAACTCCTGAAACTGAGAAGCTTCTGTAAGGCTATGGAAACAGTCAGTAAAACAAAAAGACAGCTGACAGACTGGGAAAAGGTATTCACCAACCCCACATCTGACAGAGGGTTGATTTCTGAAATATACAAAGTCAAGAAGCTAGTCTCCAAAACACCAAAGAATCCAATAAAAAAGTGGGGTACAGAACTACATAGACAATTCTCAATAGAGGAATCTAAAATGGCTGAAAGGCACATAAGAAAGAGTTCAACATCCTTAGCCATCAGGGAAATGCAAATCAAAACAACTCTGAGATACCATCTTACTCCTGTCAGAATGGCTAAAATAAAAAACACCAATGACAGTTTATGCTGGAGAGGATGTGGGGAAAGGATCACACTCCTCCACTGCTGGTGGGAGTGCCAACTTGTACATCCACTTTGGAAATCAATATGGCGACTCCTCAAGAAAATGGGAATCAGTCTACCACAAGATCCAGCAATCCCATTCTTAGGCTTATACCCAAAAGAAGCACATTCATACAACAAGGGCATCTGTTCAACAATGTTCATAGCAGCACTATGAAGTAGAAGCAGATACCCACAACTAATCACTGAACTGAACTGGAATTCAGTTGCAGAGAAGAACAAGTGATGAGCAAAGGGGTCCAGACCAGGCTGGTGAAACCCATAGAAACAGCTGACGTGAACAATGTGCAGCCCTTGGTCCCCAGAATGATAGATGGGACAGCAGCATGGGACTGATCCAGACCCCAGGAAAAGGGTCTCAGTGATGAGACCTCAGAAATCCACAGGACCTCCTGTAGTAATTCCGTTCTTATCCCTAGCATAGGTGTGGACTTTGGGAGCCCAATCCACATACCGGTATACTCCCTGAACCAAGACACACGTGGGTGGGCATAGGCCCTAAACCAAATGATATGATAGACTCTGATGACCCCTATGGAAGGCCTCACCCTACCTGGGGAGCAGAAAGGATATGTGATAGGTAGGGTTTTAGTTGAGAGGGTGGTAAGTTAGGAGAGGAAGGAGAGGGAAGTGGGACTGACATGTAAAACAATCTTGTTTCTAATTCAAATAAAAAATAAATGAAGGAAGAAAAAAGAGAACCCTGATAAATAAATAAATAAATAAATAAATAAATAAATAAATAAATAAATAAATGGATAACAGATATAAAGCAAAGAATAACTAGACCAAAATCCACAGCTCCAGAGAAGTTGGATAACAAGGAGGTCCCTAAGAGGGAAGCATGCATCACCCTGGAAAGGGAGAATAAATGAGATCTACTGGGTAAATTCTGGGCTGGGGGCAGTATAGGTGAGGGGATGGGGGTTGAAAACATGAGGGAACAAGATGATGGTGTTGGAGGAGAGATAGGTGGGAGAGAAAGGATATAGATATCCCGATAAAGGGAGCCATTAAGGGGCTAGGAAGAAACCTGATGCTAGGGAAATTCCCAGGAATCCACAAGGATGACCCCAGCTAAGACCCCATCAATAGTAGAGAGGGTGCCTGAACTGTCCTTCCCTTTTAATCAGATTGATGACTACCCTGTCATCATAGAACCTTCATCCAGTAACTGATGGAAGCAGATGTAGATATCCACAAAGCACCGGGACAAGCTAAGGGAGTCCAGTTGAAGAGAGGGAGGAGGGAATTATATGAGTAAGTGAAGATCAAGATCATGATGGGAAATACACAGAGAAAGCTGACCCAAACTTATGGGAGACCTCGACACTAGACTGACAGCTGAGAAGTCTGCATAGGACCAAACCCAGGCCCTTTGCATGTGGGCAACAGCTTTGTAAACTGGTCAGCGTGTGGAACCAGGATATATCCCTAGTGCATGAGCTGGTTGTTTGGAGCCCATTCTATATGGTGGCATGCCTTGCTCAGCCTTGATGGAGGGAAAGGGGTGGTGCTTAGTCCTGCCTCAACTGAATGTAACATGCTTTGTTGACTCACCATGAGAGACCTTACCCTTTCTGAGGAGTGGATAAAGGTAAGTTGGGCAGAAGTAGGGAGAGGGGGAGGAGACAAGGGAAGGGGAACTGTGGTTGATATGTAAAATGAAGAAATAAAATTTAAAAAAGAAAACACATGAGCTGGTGTGGAAGCAGGTATTATGCTGGGCTGGTGGTCAAAAAGAAGGGTAGAAAGACAAAACTCTATAGATAGAGTAGAGATAGATAGATAGGTAGATAGATAGATAGATAGATAGATAGATAGATAGATAGATATGAAAATCATGCCTGTAGTCTGAGGAACAGTGATAAAACCTGCAGATGTAATTCCTGCTAAAGCCTAGACTGGAAAACCTGGAAACAAGTTCAGCCATGGTCCACTACTGAAGAAAGCTAGGGAGACGAGTCTCTTTAGAGCAATGTGCTCACAACTTACACCACAAAAGACTTTCCATCCATCTTCTCCTAACTCTTCAGGACACAAGCACACAGAACCATTGGGAACTGAAGATGACTTCTGGGGCCCTACAGGGCCTGTGGTTACTGAGGTGGTTGACAGAGAGAGAAACCTGTACCGGTGAGTGAGCTCTGCCTGGATAACATGACTTTCCCCAGCACACACCTAGTCTCTACAGTGTCTCCTCAATTCCTCACCAATACAGGTGTCAAGGCCACAACTGGAATAAGAAGTTTGGGTTGTTATAAAAATAGGGGTCTTTTTCATGAAATTTTCAAACATTTACAAAACTAGAGAGCACAAGAACTTCCCTGTCCAGTTATGCACCTCCAGCAACATTCATCCAAGTTTGTTTAAACTACTCACATTCCTCCCTTGTCATCACTGTCACAGTATTCTAAGTGCAGGACATTAGGTGTTTTTACCCACAAACATTTCACTATGCCTGCCCCGTAATTAAGACAGGACCTTGTCTGCCATGACCAGATCACCATTACCACATCAATAGACCTGACATTAGTCCTTCAAACCATCTAATCAGTCTGCTTAACTTTCCTCATTACCTGAAGTGAGGACTTTCTGCTGATTATGTTAGTCATGGTGTAAACAGCATCTGTTCGCTCATTGCATTTGGTTTCTCCTGTCTCTTAGATTTCTTTTAAATCCCTATAAACTCAGCACTCCTGCTTCACTACCAACCACTGTGTGCTAAGAACCCACTAGGGTCAAGAACATGAGGATGCCCTGGCCTCCAAGAATTATAGTCCTAAGAATAATATATACACAGTGATTATATACATAGTCATGGTGTCTTCCATAACCTGTTACCCTCTTCCACACTGTCAGAGTCACTCTGTCAGCTGGAAAACTGCCACTTGAACTTCCTTCAACAGAAACTTATACTTGTCCACACATCTGTCAAGAAGCCTTGAGAAATTCACTGAAGATCTTGGTACAGCATTTTTTGTCAGGTCCAAGGATTCATCACTCATATTATCAGATGAACTCTGATTTTGTTAAATATACTTTAAGAATATTAACAGTAAAAACTGAAGATGAACCTAAGTAGTAGTGCCCTTGCTTACTCTGCACAAGGACCTAGCTT